GGCCATTTACAAGCTGTTTTGGTGGCATGAACACACAACAGTCTTGAGTACTGTTCTTTCCTTGACAGCAGCTTGCATGCTACAACAAGGCTCACACAGCTTTTTTTAGTCAAAGGACACCTAATTAGTTTGTGGAAAAGAAGGAATACTTTCCAGGACTCTCTTCCTCTGTGCTGCCACCAGGACGTGTCTCTGCAAACAAGAGAAAAATGCTCAGATTTTAATTCAATTTGTATCACCAGATCTAGTTTCCCACCTATTCAGTTTCTTTTGATACATGTGGGAACTGCCTGTTGTTAAAAAGTGATTCCTGGGTCAGTGACCTTCCTCCTTAACGTCCAGGGTTTCTAGAACATGACACTGCTATGGGATGCTCATCAAAAGAGCAATTTAGGTGGATAACCTTGTAAACTTCAGAAGCACAGTGCCTTCATTTTGACTGTTACAAAGAGTGGATAGAAGGGATCTGTTTATCTTGCTGTCCGTGCACTTAGAGCAGCATCCCAGGCCCTTCAAAGACTGAAAGGGAGAACATATGAGCTGCAGAGGTCGGTGGCGCTTGATAGCTGGGATGCCATGGAAGATTTCACATTCTTCAGCTCTAATCTCTTATAACAAAACGGAATTCAAACTTAACCCCCCCAAAAATAAGTCAGGTTGGTTAGTGTGGTGCCATGTCCCATGTATCCATCAGGATTTGTTTTTGGTGGATTAGTGCTCTCATTTAYGTGTTTTCTTCTTGGTCAGCAGTGTTATTGTTTTAGCTGATACTTTCAAAAGGTGTTTATTTTTGCTGCTAATCTAAGATGAGYCCTGTAATTATCTGTGAAATAGAAGCAATTCCTTTCTGTAACTGTGATGCTCTCTGGAGGCAGTGCCTGATGGTCACCATTTCGTGTTTGCTGATGTGCTTTTTTCCATGGCTATTTTCAAAACAGTTGCATCTCATTTCAACTGACTTGGTCCTTCACTGACATATTTTTCCAMAAATGCCTCCAACAAAAAGCAAGGACTTTTTGTCTCCTATATGGATTAAGCGCCATTCTAGTCTTTGTGACCAGAAGTATCTTTCTCTGCCTCAGTATTTTTATTTACTGAAGGTTTTGTTGGGTGTTTTACATGTTGGGCTCCAGAAGCAAAATAGCCCCTTGTACTTATGACTCAAATTAAATAAAATATTTTAACTTTCAGTTTCCCAATTTTTCAAGTTACAAAAGGATGACTGGAACAAAGAGGAGAGAAGCATAACAGCCTTTCCCCAGTTTTTAGTCCTTCTTCACCTCATCCTCTGCTCTTTGCTAACCAAACATAACTTGGTCATGCTGTGACTATGCCACTGGTTTCTCAGCACCCTTTTTACATTTTCCGTGCTCTGACAGATGCTTTAGTGGGTGCTCTGCCATCCTCTTTCAGGATGTAATACCTGTTTACTCTGGGCAGACCTTCCCTGGCATTTCTTTAGCTCCTTTTTCACTCATTTTCCTCTGCTTCTTTCCTGGGTTTTTTTTTGGGTTTTTTTTTGCACTTTCTGTCCTCCTCCCTGTCCCAGACCTACTGTCAGAGGATCACTTCAGAGAGCTTTTGCATTCACTCCTAGCTTTTGCTAGGCTGTTTATTCCTTGCTTCATACAGTCTTTTGTGAGATCTGCTGATCATGTAGAGGTTAGGAAGAAGTTTCACCTCTATCTAGAGGGAGAGATATAATTAACCAGGACTTTTTTTTCTCTATCTGTTTTCTGATTCTGGTTTTTTTTTTTTTTTTTTTTTTTTTTTTTTTCCTGAGATGGGACACTGCTCTAGGTGCCTCCTGGAGGAGCAATGGTGTGGGAAGTCTTTATGTTGCCCAAGCCTGACTGATGGTTTGCAGCTGAGCTTGTGTTATGGAAGATTCCTTGAAAGTAGAAATCGGGGTCCAGAATTCCAGGTTCAGTTTGGGCATTCACCYGGAATGGAGCCTAATCCATGAATGACCAGCATGAGGCCTTTCAAAGCATCTGCCCAAGATGTTCTTGAAAATCTCTGTTTTCTGTTTGTTTACACCATCAGCCTTGCTCTGATATCCCCAAACATGTCAATGCTGACAGCTGGAGACCTGGCATTTGATGCAAACACAATCCTATAGTGGGATTAAGAGTATTTACAATAACTGGTTGCTTGCTTCATGTTTGAAGCAGATGGAAAATACACCAATGAAAATGTCATTTGTGAATGGATTAGGAATAATCATGCTGCGTACTTCTGAAGACTTCAGGGAAATATATAAAAAACCAATCAACCAACYAACCAACMAAAAAATCCCAGAACCCCCCTACGTCCACCCTTCCTYCCCAAACATCATGGTCTTAGTTCTTTTAAAGGTGGGAATAGGAAGAAAGCAAAAAATAATCTCCTATGTCTAGGATCACGATTAAACTTTCAAACATCTTGCATGCATTTCTACTGAGCCTAACACAACTGCCCTGGTGGAGGTCAGTGAGCAGTAGATAATTAATAAAAGCTCAAGATCTTCATGCRTGCAAACAACCTCAATGAATTTCTAAAGAGTTAGGGGCACTCTGAACACTTCTCCTCGTGTTCAGAGGCTGTGCCTTTCCACTACAGAAAGAGCCTTTTCAGAGGCAGTGATCAAGGTTTTTTTCTAGGCTATTCCAGTTACCAGCAATATCCAGAAAAGAGACTTGAATTTGTATTATTAATTCAGCAACGTCATTATGAATGAACTACAGGAAACAATGCATCTTCATCTTATGTAAACAGTATAAATAAAACTTCTGATAAGCACTTTACTGCATTGAATTCCTCATTCTTTTCTTTGAGAGCGTTCCAAAGTTTAGTGTGCAGCTTAATCAACTTCATACGTGCTTGAGTTGGGCAAGTCAAAACTAACATGACCCCGCTCAAGGAAAAGCATCCCTCGCACGAGAAATCCCATTCTGCTTATTTACTATATATGAGAACAGCCCCAGCCATTCCTTCCCTGAGGCAACAGGAACTTTTCCATGTTTCCTTAACCACCGTCACCCTTCAACACTTTTCAGGACGAAAGCCTTGTTCTCAGGATGACCCTGGCTGCATGGTCATTAAAGCTGAGATGGAGCTGATGAAGCAAAATGACCAAACCTCCAACTTTAATGTATTCAGCTKCAATACTTTTTTGCAACTGCAAAATATGTTTAACCTGTTTAACCTCTCTTTCCMATCAACTGTTGATCACACTGAAATTCTTTTGCGCATAAAACTTTGGGCCCTGCTTTGGCAAACAGTTGAGTATAGGATTAGCTTCACCTGCCAGTTGCCGTCTTTAAATTAGCAAGGCTGTTAGCATGGGTTAAATAAATACATACGTAAGTTAATACAATATTTTTTAATTAAAAAGATAGCAGTGTGTTGATACAGTGCTATGTGGGTGGCAAGCATTAAAGAAAAAGTAGGGAGATGAGTGAAGTAATTCAGGTAGCGAATCAGATCTGCACTGAGTGGCAAGAGTTCTGGAAAATAAACACCTTCTTGGAAGCACATTAGTGCCAGGCCTACATACACACCTTTTAAAATCAAAGTCCTTCTCCATTCMTGACATTGGGTCTGGGCTGGAAATCATCCAAAGGGTTTTGGCTCTGTGCTCTGATATGATTCAATCTCTAAAAAAAAGGGGACTTCTTTGGGAGGGACAGTGACTGCTTCTGGAATGTGTTAAATTAAATTCTTTGTTATCTATAGACAGACATCACAGGGGTTACGGCAGTGCAAACTCTCTTCATTTCAGACCTTGTCACTGGATACTTTCTGCTTGGAGCAGGAGGATAAGGAACACGATGTGGAGACAGGTGTCTCCTGAGCTCTTGGGTCCAAGCACTCAGGTCGTGCTTTTGTTTCCATTATCTCCAAATCAGGAGGGCTGTCTGGGAGAGGTGAGTGCTTAGGCCTGTGAGCCACAGCTTTCTCTGGCTTCGAGACAGCAAGTCCTGTCTTTGCTTACTCATTATTTGTATAAAGGAAAAAGAAGTAATTATGACAGAATAAACATCTGAAACATCCTCTTGAGAGCAAAAGCCATAATAAGTAGGGGGTGAAAAATTGTTGTGCAGCACTCCTTTGCTTRACTGAGCACAAGAATAGAGAAGATGTGCAGGGCTGCTTAGGGGAGAGAAGCAGCTTGAAGCTGGCAGTTCACAGCACAGGCAGCAGACAGTGGTGACAGTGGATGCTGTGCAAGTCAGGAAAAACTTCTGAAAAACCCCAGAGTTTCCCAGTTCATCTATCATTAGCCKTTTTCCAGGGACTGGGCAACATACCGAAGGGATTAACAGCTTAATCATAGCTGATTCATATACGGGGATCTGCATTGTTTATTTATTTATTTTGCTATCARGAACTTCCTCTAAGAGACGTGGGAAACTGAGGCAGAGTAGGATGAAATTACTTGTTCAATGTTGCCTGTGGCAGTGGAAAAAATAAAAGTGTATTGCTCAAATCTTACACCCTTTTATTAGTCCCGTGCTGGTTTAACAGAGGAGTTGCAGTTTGTTACTTGCACATCCCTGGTTTTTCTGGCTGCAATGATGCATAAGTACAATCTGYTGCTCACATTTCCCTGATTTTTCCCTGGCTGCCAGAATGAGGCCATTTATACTGCAGGTGAAAGTGCTAGAAAGGCTGATTTGCACACCCTCATGTCMCTGGAGATTTTTGCACTTGCAGGAAGTTCCGTGGTGATCAAAGGCGATGCATCTGCCGAACGTTTCGCAAAGGCACGGTCGTTTTGCAGGTTTGTTCCCGCAGTCCAGAGCAGTTTAACCGTGAAAACGGGATATGGTACAACGAGGCAGAGCTGATGCGCTGCTTTATCAGAGTCTGCTGTCATCAATCTCCGTCTTTATGAATGGTGGGGAAGTGGCAGCTGTACACAAGGATAAACAGCCGTCGCAGCAGAGATGCTTTGAACTGYTCTGCTCCTTTGGGGGAGAGATTTGAGATAAAGCCGAATCTGGAAAGCATCAGTGATGGTGCACCGAGAGCCGCTGATCACCCCCTCCGCTCAGGACCTTTCCAACACTTTCCGTCCCCCTCACCCTGGCCCGGGCACCCTCCTCCCCCTCCTGCCCGTGCTGTCGGCAGCCGGGGGGTCGGGAGTGGATCGTGGCTTGCGGGGGCYGTGTGTTGATGCCCCCTCGATCCCYCCGCACACGTGCCCCGACCYTGSCACATCTGGCCGCCGCCCCGCCGCGGGGCAGCATCTGCCGGCACATCTGGGCGCGCGCGGCCCCTCCCC